CCCCATGCGCTGTGTTTTGTGCCAGCTCCACCTGAGCCTGTTCAGTTGATTCAGGTGGTGCCGGGAGCCAGGCACCGGTGCTTCTGGAGCTGGCCGTGCACTGGTGGCCGTGCAGGCAGGACAGCGGGGTGCCAGCAGGCTGTGGGGCTGTTAAAAAGGAGAGGATGTGAAAGCACCTTGCAAGGACAGGGATTAAAATCCAAGACACTTAAAGATGCCATTTAGCTTGACTTCTTGTTATACCTCCCACCATTACACCTGATCAGGGACCGACAAATGCATCTGGGGCGGAGGGCTGGCATGGGTGGAGGAGGACAGGAGGGCAGGGGGATGATTTCCCTGTAAAAGCGGCCCTGGTGTGACCAAGCCATCCCAGCTGCAGCATCCTCACTCGAGTGTCGTCATGGCCAAACCTGTGTGTCCCCTTCTCCCACACAGCATGAGCCAGACCCACATGCGCACACCTTGGGTCACCAGCCCGATGGGGACGCTTGGCCAGGAGTTTGGGGGCAGCGCTGGGAGCATCGCGTACCTTCCTGCGGCGGGAGAGCCAGCAGCCCCGTTAGCAGTGGGCACACAGCCATGGCCGTCCCGCAGCAGGGCACATGGCAGCTCTGGGAGAAGGGAGAAGCGGGTAAAAGCGCATGGGCTGGGGCGAAGCACGGTTCCTCGCTTTCTCACGGTGTGACTTTCCAACCACAGCAAAAGCAGAACAAAACACGGATGTGGTCAAAACCTCTGTGCCCAGGGTGTCCCACCACCACCGCCTCACACTGGGGCTTCTGGCGCCCACCTCCAGCGCCCAACAGAAACCCACCGTTCCCCACTGCTGCTTCCCAGGCCCTTCCCCCATCCACCCCATCTGCCTCCGGGTCTTGACCTCTCCTGGGGTGGCCCCGGCAGCCTGGCCCTGGCCCAGCACAGCCTGGGGTGGTCCTGGCTGGTGGCCAGGCGGCAGCAGGCGTCCCACCGTGAGTGCCTCCCCGTGGGGAGCAATGTGGGAGTCCGACGGAACAGCTGCCCCTCCAGGATGGAGCGGTGAGCACGGAAGAGCTGGTTTTGCCCCAGGGCAGATGTTCAGTCTCCATGCTGCTCTGCGCTGGGAGATGGAAATGAGGGGAAGGAGGAAGCAGCGGTTCCTGCTGGTGTGCGACCGGCACAGCTGACTGCGCAGTTTGATCTCCCGCTGGCCGCAGAGGGACACGCGCACAAACACCATCGCGGGTGTATTTATAGGCACGCTGGCAGCCACTCATTTTGTCCAAGTCCCTGAAGATGTTGCTTTTCGTCTTGCTTTTTCTCTTCAGTTTCAACCCATCCCTGAGCCTAAAAATCTGTTCCTTCAATGTGAGGTCTTTTGGAGAAACAAAAATGGGCAGACCCGAGGTTGTTGACGCTGTGGCAAAGGTATGTTCATCTGCCTGGACAAGGCTTTCTGAGGCTTTCTTAACTACACAATCTTGCACTTTATTTATTTTTCACAGTTGAATTTCAAGTTTAAAAAAAAGAGTTAATAATTTAAATAATTTTATACTGTTAAAGTAAAAATCAGCGCGTGGTTGAGCAGGGTGTTTGCTGTTATTTTCGCCTGCATGGGAATATTACAGAAACAACCTTTGCTGTTTCCTTTGGAAATGGAGTTAGGAAAGGAGGAAAACCTCTGTGCACCGTAAAAAGTGATTTTCAGTTTGAATCCACAAGGCTTTGTTTTGTGATACATTATTTACTGTGCTTTTGTGCTAATTATTCAGAAATATTCTTGTCTAATTAAACCTATTCTCAGGACAGCAGAGAGTATCACATGAGAGTGTGGTACAGAATCAAAAACCTGATTGTTAATTTGTGTAAATAAACCCTCACCATCAGGCTTCCTTCAGGCAGCTGAAGATAACTCAGCTTTTTGAAAGAACCATGTTTTGGATTTACAGCTCTTGCAAGTGCCCTCCGAGGTGCCGCAGTGACGGAGGACGCGGTGCTGGGTGCTGCAGGACGGCCGCAGGTGCCGAGCCGCAGCAGCGAGGATGCTGCCCTTTAGTCGGGCTGGGATCTGTTTGCTGCAAACAGCTGGAGCAGAGGGGTGTGCTGGGCTCGGCATTTTGGGATCGCTCTTCCTCTGCTGTCAGCGCTGTGGGCAATAGATGCTAAATTATGGGCGAGGTGGTCATTTCTTGCATGTTTCAGCAGGCAGAAAGGGGCTTTTTTTTCCCCATGAATATCACCCAAAAAGTTTGACGAGCAGCCAGAGCAGGGCAGGAGGCAGTCCCTGAGCATGCAGGGCTGCGAGGTGTGCTGGGGTTTCCGTGGGGGGTCCCCGCG